CCTTTAGACTCATCTGCTGGGTCAGCCCTCCTGGGTTTTGAGCCTACACTGCAGATGGGAACTTTTAGCTCCATAATCTTGTGGGTCAGTTCCTCATGATGAATCTCTCACTATTGGTTCTGCTCCTCTGGAGAGCTCTGATTAATGCAACTGTCCTCCAGTTTGCTCAAGCAGCACCTGAAGAGTAATAATCGACCCCCTTATTCCCAACACTAAGGGCATACAGTGAGGAGATGCCTAATAGTATGAGGCAGGGAGACAGGCAGGACTGGGTCATGCAAGACCTTCACCACCACATTGGAGGAGTTTGGTAGTAAGTTTATCATGACTTTGATTTTGAACATGCTGATTTTGAGGTAACTTTGAGATATTCCAAGATTGATCCTACACAAGCAGTTGGATGCACAGGTCTAGAATTCCGAAGGGATGTCTAAGCTAAAAATGCTATATGAGTTGGTGGTCTCTAAAGCTACAGTCATAGATAAGATCCTAGAAGATGTGTTTCTTTAGTTTTTGGTTCCTAGGACCCCATTGGCAGTCTAGGGATAGCAGTGTTCTTAAATGTATGAAATGAAATGCATAAGATAGCAGTGGAAATCAATTGCATTAAAATATATTTATCAAATGTTAAAAATCATTTTCTGATTCAAAAGTGTATATACTTTTAATAATTACTTTCAAAGTAGTGAGACATAGAATTTATTTGGAGACCTCTGTAATAATTATTGTGTGGGATGAAGATGATCTGGGATTAAAAAATATTTTTTTTTTTTTTTGGTTCCAGACCCTTGCACTTGTGAGGCAGGCAGTGGAATCACTGAGCAAAATCCCTGGCCCAATCTGGGATTTTTATTGCACACCAAGTCACATATCCGACAGCAGAGATAATGTTAAAATTGGAGGGTTGTCTCAATAATTAGGGCTATAATAATTACAGTAATAGCCAAAACTTTTTGATACATCTTCTCCGTATATTGGGTGCCAAAAAGTCTGGCAAGATCTGTATTTGCAAATAAATTATTTCTTTTTAAAATAAAAATTGTACTTACATAAAAGAATTCAGACTGTCAGCAGGATAGGGTTTTTTTTTTTTAATTACAGAGTGGTATTCAGTTAATGAAACATTTATTTCATATAAGCTGTGTTAGACACGTATCATCTCCATGTATAACTAATTTGTGCTGTGCACCTTCCAAATTTCCTTGCCAATTTCAAGCCCCATTCTGTACAAGACGAGGTTAGAGGCTACTGAAAATGTCACCAAGACAGGACCTCTAAAAGACATTCAGGTAGCACATTAGCTGAACAAAGCAGTCCCTGAACGGTCACACAGCTTTAATTATTTTCTTTAAAAGGCGTGAACTACACACTGAGGTTATATGCCGTACAGAGAGGGAAAAAACTGTGCTAAACCCAATGTTTTCGTCATCATCATCATCATCTTCAACATCTTCTTCTTTTTATTTGTCTTGCTTTTTTCAGTCTCCAGGTTGCCGTGGTTCAGCAAACATGATGCCGCCATCAGGCTTTGCTTATCTCAGTAGGCAGAAACCTCTCTTATGTAATTTGCCTTCAGCTCTGAGGTCCTCTGCTCATAGGCTGCCTGCCACCCACAGCAGTCGGTCTTCCACACTGTCCCGGTTCCTTTGCCGCGTTATCAGTGGCTGGACTAGTCTGCTCTTTGGGCGGCGCTCAGGACAGAGCAAGAAGGCCGACTGAGGACTCTTGGGTGCATAGGGATCCTTGAACTTGTTTTTCATTTCCCCTTTAAGAAGATAGTAGGCTTTTATGCCTCTTTTATAACAGGCCTTGCCTTTGCCACACAACCAGATTTTCCTTCTCAGCAGACATGGTCTCCCATTTCTGTGAGCTCTTTCCTCATAGACAACCCTAGCAAGCAGACAGAAGTGCCCGGGTTTGTATAAAGAATGCATAGCAGAACATTTTGCCTCTTGGCTTCTTAGGGTCTTCTTTGCCTGTGTTTAGTTTTTGTTTTTGCTTTGCCTTCAGTAAGGCACGGAGTTGTCCAGGGCCATCGGGGTCTCGCTGCCCTAGCCCTGTCTGTAGAGCTCACTGTACCACAATGCCTGCCCTCAATCATTTCTTGCTGTAACCTTCAGATGGAGTGAATCCGAGCACTGAGTCTAGATCTCGTCTGCAACTCTACCTTCATCTCACCTTTGTCTTCCACAATGATCCGGGGCCGTATGTTTTCTTTCATGGCTGTGAGTTTGAAAATCAGCAAGAGGGCGTTGGGCAGCCTCCCCTGTGGCCTGTCCTTTGTATAATACGTCAGGAGCCACACATGGGCAAGCCAGTTAGTAATGAGAATAACCTAAAGAAATGATAGTCTTTGTTCTTGAGATTTGCAGACCTTACAGACCGCTCATGAGCAGGCAGTTAGGCTCAGATGTGTATCATCAGGCCCACCCCTGTGAGAAGGCTCCCAGATATCTGCAGTCAGCTTTCATCTCCCCGAAAAAGGCACCGATCAATCTGAAAATGCCCATTACCATTCATACACACTACTCCTAAATCAGTTCCTGGCAAGGGGGACTTTGCGGAAAGAATGCTGCATCTTGTCCGGTGGCTTCCTCACCAAAGTCACGTTCCTTGCGTCAGCGTCTTATCTCTTCTCTTCATCGGCCTGTCTTGGAATCGGCATCTGGACTCGGATCTGCTAGCAGGAGGACAGGTATAAAGAGCTGCTATGTTTAAAATAAAAACATAAAACTTTAACTGGAGGTAGAGGATTCTCTAGTTGACCTCACATCCTACTCTCTCTCCACACCTTATATACCATAGAATTTAGACAATTGACTTAAAAGTTTTACTGGTTTTAGAATTTCATTTGTGATAGGTGTTAGAAAACCAAAAACTTGTTATTACTGTTGAACAGTTCCTTACTATTAAAAGGTGATCTGTAGGCCCGGGGATTTAGCTCAGTGGTTCCATCACCTGCCTCAAAAGTGCAAGGTCCTAAATTTGATCCCCGTACAAAAAAAAAAAAAAAAAAAAAAGAATTGATCTGTATACTGTTTCTCAGATGTCAGCTCGCATTAGAATTCTCTGGAGGGCTGGAACACAGACTGCTGTGCTCACCCCAGATGCCGAGTCAGTGGGGATGGGAAGGGCTTGACAGCCTGCAACTGTGACAAGTTCTGGAAATGCGGATGCTGCTCATCCTGGTCTGGGCACCAGGCTTCGAGACCTCTTCCTAGCTTCCTCCTGGCCTCTGCACGCCAGCGTGAGAGGTGTCAAGAGAGACAGCCAGGTTAGTGCAAGCATGTCACTGACAGTCCAGTCATAGGGTACAGCGTGCGAAGGAAACAGAGCTGTGAGTGGACAAGTTCTGGGCAGGACCCGCTCTTCTGTATTTCTCAATCCTTGCACAACCATGTAATACGACCCCTCTGCACAAGGCCTTCTGCTTCTTGGCCTAGTCCTTCTGTTGTTTGGTTTTTGTTTTTAGGACAGAAGGTCATGGTAGAATATTCTTTTTTAACAGTTCTGCCAATTACACCACAGTCTTCAGAAAAACGTCTTACTCAAGCCTTTATCTAATTCCCACTCACGCTGTTTCTCATAAACAAGAATGTCCTGAGCCCAGCGCCTTCACCACTTGTGCTTGGGGAGTCACAGAGCTCCTTGCTAGCCATCACACCGTGGCCTGTACTCTTCCCCTCTTGTTAGCACCCTTGGCCTTCTATTTGGGACTGCGTTCTCAGATTGTGCCATTTGTACTGGCAGGTGTTTAGTTCCCCAAGAAAGAGAGCTGACGAAGTGACAGATATATCTGGAGAGGTGGCTGAGGCAGAGGCTCTCTGTCTGCTCCCTATCCATTCTCCTTTTCTTTCTTAGTGCGATGGGATGAACATCTGTGTTCCCCCCAAAGGTGTAGCTTCAGATCCTAATCTCCAAAGTGACAGTGCTAGGAGGTGGGGATTTGGGAGGTGATTCGGTCATGAGGGCAGAGTCCGAACAGAAGAGAACTGAGAGAGACACCTTATCCTCACCACGTGGGGACGCAAAGCAAGAGCTGACTGTGAAGGAGGAAGGGACCCTCACCAGACTCAACCTGCTGGGACCTTGATGAGCCTCTGGAACTGTGGAGAGTGATTCTGTTGTGCATAGGCCATCCACTGTGTGGTATTATGTCCCAGCCGCCCAAGTGAACTAAGGCTCTTACGGCTCAGGTCTCGGTGTGCTTCAGAGGTGATATATCCAGCTACATACAGTGTCGGTGTCCTCGTAGTAGGGCAGCTGTGTGACCTGACACTGGCTGATGCCGTGGAAGAGTTTCTACAGGGGTCTTCGGTTGGGGGACTTTTAAGAGGACTCTGGCTCAGCAGGGGTGCTCTTTCACCCAGTGCCTTTCAGCCCCCCCCCCCCCCCCCGTTTCTTTCTGGAATGCAGATGCTAGGCTTGGAGCTATAGCAGCCGACTTTGGAGCAGAAAGAAAGAGCCTGACTCTTCAGTGACAGCCACCGCAGATTTGCTCTTTCCCAGGGAAAGAACTTACTAGATTCAGTTTTCGTTTGTTAGGTTTTCTGTTACTCACAGACTCTGCGTTGGGTAGCATGGGGCCTGAGAAAGAGAAGCGACTGTGGAGTGTCAAGTGAGAGTTCCTCTTGCTGATGATCACAATAAGAAGCAGAGTGGCAACATTAACCAACATTTCCCAGGCACTGACTAGATGTTTGGCCTTCACTAAGATGAGAGTTTTTAGCAACATGGCCAAGTCACACAGCGAAGAAGAATAGAGACGGATGCAAACTTGTGTCTGTGTGACCTGCACCCCTCACACCCCACATCAGGACCCTGGTCCTAGCCTCTATTTTTGGTGTCTGCTGTTGGGCCTCAAGGCTCCTGCCCATGCACATGGCCCTCCTGAGGCAGGGTCTCCTGTGGCCACCCCTTCCCTGATAGACGGTGCTGCTACTGCAGGACGAGGGTGGGAGTGAGAACCCTCCGCTCCTACCTTGCCCTTCCTCTTCCTCTCTGGCTTTTTCTCGTCAGTGCACCTCTCTTCCTCCTGTCGCCTTCCTCATCAGAGTGCAAACAGAATGCCATCTCTTCTTAGTTTTGGCTCTTTGATGTTATAAACATGTCCTCTCTTCACCTTGTATCGTTCTCATTTTGTTTGAGTAAGTTTCAAGAACCCATAATATACTCTGCTGTAAAGATCGGTAGTAGAGAAAAACATTAAGTCTAAGAAAAAGTGTATATTACATCTATAAATGATAGAACTTTGGGGTTGAAAGGAATCTTGGGCGTAATCTAACATCACCTTTTCCCCAGAGGATTTCAAACTCAGGTTGGGCTGGAAAGTGGGTGGGAATGCTTGCAAACACTCCATAGAAAATACAGCCTGCCTCCCAACAACGTTCAACTATTTCCCAAATAGATACCATGGTAATACATAGATTATTTTTAAAGTGCTACTCAACTTAGAGGTTTTTGATGATGATGAATTTTCTGAGAGGGGAAAGAGAGAGAGAGAGACAGGGAGGGAGGGAGAGAACATGTGCTCCTGCCATTGCCGTGGTCCTCTGTAGTTAAGCTAAAACAGCCACTCCCACATTAGGAAATCATCGTCGCTGTCCTGGTGCCTCCTACCTTATTCTTGCCTTGTCCTAGGGTGACCAGCTCATTCTAGTTTGCCAGAGACTATGCTGCATGGAAATGGAAAGCTCTGCATCTGGAAACCCTCTCCATTCTGGAAAAACCAGAATGGCTAGTCACCCAACCTGTAACTATCTGTGCTTTTTCAGGCTGAACATTGCGGTTTCCTAAAATGTTTGTAGTAAGATGAGGTGTTGAGTTGGGGATTTAGCTCAGTGGTTCTGCTGCCTTTCTCACAAGCACAAGGTCTGAGTTCAATCCCTGGTGCCCAAAACACACACACACACACACACACACACACAGACAAAAACACCTGAGGTGTCTACACCCTACCATTCCAGTGCCCCAATTTGGCTCAGGTTCCTTTTGTCAAAGTCACCCCTAACATCTAGAACTGATGGAAATACTCGGTATTACGTTGAGTAGACTTTCTGCAAATGTAATTTTTAACCTACTGTATGTACCATATCAGTGGCTATGAGTTCATTGTGACCAATTCAAATCACAGGACTATTCCATACATTTCTGTCAATCTCCCTGACCTCTGCCTTGTAATTACAATGCACCTTTTGGACCCAGTAGTGGTTATTCTTAATTTATTCTAGTTTACAATGGCTTGGGCTTAGTCATCATATCTGCTTAGATGATGTATATTGTAACCCATCTTATTGGTGGCCTCAATCAGGTATGTGGCTTCTGAACATTTAGTAATCACATCTATGCCCTTATCCAAATTGTTGAAAATATTTGAAACAGGGTCCTGGGTCCACACCGCCAGACACATCCACTTAGATTAATGTTGCTAGTCAGTAATACGTACTTTTCTGTTTAGCTACCTATGAATAGATCTAATTGTGTTTTAGCCCTGGGGTAGAGGTACCATGAGGCTTTGGGCACACACTGATGAAAAATCAAGATCTCTGGGGAGCTGAAGAATATTCCAGAAAGACTAGTGTGTTGTCAGTCAACACCCACTTGAAAGAGTACAGAACACTGAGGCGTTGACCCTATAATTATGTGGGGAGTTTACTCCCAGTCAAGGCCTAACCCTCAGTTGACTGAGGGATCAAACTCAGGATCTTGCACTTTTGAGGCAGGGGGCGAAACCACTAAGCTAAATCACCAGCCCTGTACCTTGTGACTTTGACCAATATTACACAACATTATTTCTGGCAACATGACTAATCTTTAAAATAATTATTTTTGGTATTTGAGAGGCGGGATTGTTTATGCTTACTGTAGCGTTAGTCAGAATATTGCACATAGTGTGCTCAAAAAACCAATTCAGAAAGCAGTAGCACTACCAGTGGGTGCTAACGTTTCCCAGGAATTGGATCTCTTAATAGGCAAAAGCTTTAGGAAGCTCAGTTATATTGACTGAATTACTTAATATTTGCCTAAAGTTTAAACTGTTCAGGTGAGATTATTGAGTCCCTATTAGTATTACAAGTTTATGATTATTTTCTTTCTTCTTGGGGGAGAGAGATGCATGAATTAAAACAATCAAAATTCATTGTTAAATTTTAGAAAGCAAGACATAAGGGAAACATTTACAATATTCGAGATAGAAATGTGCGTGATTACAGCTTGTGCTGGAGTGGTGAAGAGTGAACCCCAATATTACAGTTATAAAGGACGATATGTTCAAATTGCTCAGGTATAAGCATTGTGGAGAGACTGTGGTTTACCTGTGCCAGGGGCTGGGAAATAACAGGGTGAGCAAAACAGACATGGGCCTTGTCCTTATAGAGATCACAGTTTGGTGGGGGAGGAAGACATTAATCAAATAATCATACACATAACTGGGTAATTGCATATGGTGATGGATTCGTGTTGGGAAAGGCCCTTTGTTCTGAGAGAGCTAAACTCATCTGGAGGGGAGGTTTATAGAATAGTCCTTTCAGCTGTTATCTGAAGCATCCTGTAAGATAGGGAAAGGGGTAGGAGGGAGAGTGTTCCGGGCAGAGGGAGCAGCTTGTGCAGGTCACGGGAAGGTGCTGTCTGGAATGCTTGAGGAACTCACGGAAGGCCGGAGTCTGGGCTGCTGCCGGAAATGGAAGATTAAGTGGGTGAGAGACAGCACTGGCTGCTGGCCAGCTTGTAAATGTTCAGGTGCCTCTTTCTTCTAAATTCATATGTCGAAATCTAATTCCCCAAAGCCCTCGGAAGACACCAAACCTGTGCTGCCTTGATCTAAGACTTCCTTGCCTCCAGAACTGTGATCAATTGATTTGTATTCTTTGTAAATTATCCAGTGTAAGATATTTTGTTGGAGGAACCTGAATGCCCTGCAACGTATGAAACCCAGAGACCCTACTGGGATTTGACCTTTGTTCTAAGAGTGATGTGAGCTGCTGAAATCTTTAAGAAGAGGTGCGGTCAGATCATAGGAAAAGCTTATGCTGGCTGCCCAGCTGCAGAAGTGTGGTTCCAGGCAGAGGGATGCTGGAGGCTCAGGGAAAGGACCCAGCAGGGCTGAGCGTTGACTCGGTGTGGGCGCCGCCTCCTCCCGCGCTGTCCTCCCACTGAGGACATCATATCACATGATATTCGGAGAAAATGACCTTTCTCAGCCCCTCAGTGTACTGCACTAATGGTAAGGCTCTGCGGGTCTTCTAGGGTTTCGAAAGCACCCCAGGAGTGCTAAATATTGTTTTAATTATACTGACTCAAGGGGATGAAGCCTCCCAACCACTCTGTCTTCTGCATATCCCCAGTGAATTTGGGTGGTGTCTGCTTTATGTCTCTGCAGCCGTAATTCCACTTTGCTTGAGAATACAATCTCACAGAGCCCAAGGGGGTTTGGCTTTGGGAACTATCTTGAGCAATCCTAATACTTTCATAAAATCCATTTCCATCTCTTACTGACCTGAAGAACTTTACTTAGCTCTCTGGGGATTAATTATGAAGTTGGAGGAGATTTCCAAGCAAACTGTTAAGCTGTTTTTCAAACTTAATAGTGAAAATGAGTTATTTTCTTTTGGTGAAAAAAATAGTGTTCTGTTTTCTTTGTTAGTAATATGGTGCCAATCTTCTGGAAATTAAGGCTCATTTTAAGCAATCTGAATAAGATTCAGTACTACATGTATTACTACGTCTTAAATTCAGAAATCAAAATAGTTTATTTGGGGATAAATTATATGAAAAAGCAATTCATTCTCTTCTAATTAGGGAGAGATTCTTATCCTCTAAAAGAGATAGGATTCATTCTTTCCACCATCGTGGAGCCTGTGGAGGCTGCTGAAAACAGAACTTTTAGGTCCATGGCCAGTTTTGTTGGCCGTAAGTGGGATCTCTGGAACCAGAGAACTACACAGCTCT